TGGGTGTTGATTTCAGTGTTTAACACCAAAATATAACATACTATAAATCTATATATGTATCTATCTCTCTCTCTCTCTATATATATATATATATATATATATATATATATATATATATATACAGTCTAACCCGGATATAAGAGAGTTGTCGAGACCGGAGAAGAAGTCTCTTATATCCGGGTTTCTCTTATATCAGGGTTTGGTCTAATTTATATACATTAACACAGGCTGTAGTTTGGGACCAGAGAAAATCTCTCTTATATCCGGGTTTCTCTTATATCGGGGTCTCTTATATCCGGGTTACACTGTATATATATATATATATATATATATGTACGTACGTATGTATGTTCGAAGGGATTTGCCAATCCGGCATTATATCTTAATACTGTAAACGTTAGTGAGTACATGTGTTTGAATTGATATCCCTGTTTTTATTTTCTCATTACTATAAACGTTATTTTAATTGGTTTCACTATTTAAGAAGTGAAAACAGAGACAGTAACTCAAACACGTGTAGCCAATAAAAATATCATTTATATTAATAGGAAACACACACGCTGATACACACACACACACACACACACACACACATATATATATATATATATATATATATATATATATATATATATATGTATTCAAGAATTTATCTGTTAAATAATTTAGACGTATTATGTCTATTTTTGCTTTAATCGAAACAATTTCACGATTTAATTTATTGCTGTAGCAAGGATATTTATAAAACTTCTGGTAAGGTTTCTTCATACCCAAGAAAGGATAAAAGTCCTTATAAACATGTCCACAAATCCTTCGTTTTTGAGTTATATACACCTTTGTGCAAATTAAATGAAACACAACGAAGAATTCCGTTATTATTTACTTTTTTCTTATTTTCTTATTTTCCAATGAAACACAACCCACTGCACATGTTAGAACTTCATATTTCCTCCTTTATTTCTTAGAAGTCCTTTGATGCGATTTGCCATGGAATCCCCTAATTCGGAGCTGTTCTCATTGATTTAGGGTCTACGGTAGAACACGTCTGTAATGGCCGTCACGAGCTTTTCTTTCGTCCTACAGTCCGCGATCTCTCTGTAAGTTTGCCAGTGTGTGTGTGCATATATATATATATATATATATATATATAGAGAGAGAGAGAGAGAGAGAGATAGATAGATAGATAGATAGATAGATAGATAGATAGATAGATGCAGTGTATGCAGTGGGGTTACAAATATTGGGTATAGGGAGACTGCGGAAAGGATAAAAACTGAACTGGGTTCAAGAAGACAGAAGTCGATTGACGTTGCATATAAATTTTTGAAGATTGTCCTTATCAGGGAAGCAAGAAAGCAGAAGTGAATTCCACAGGCGAGATGTGTGAGAAAGGACACCGTTGGAGTAGAAGTAGCCGTAATATTTACCTAATTCGACAGTAAAAGGTTGGGACCTCGATGCAAATCTCGTAGCACTGTTAAACTCACGTAATCCGGGCATCAAGGAAAAATAGCCCGTCAGAGCAGTAGTTATAAAAAAACATTTGTAGACAAAACAGAGGGAAGCCACGTCACGTCGGTGAGAATGTGACTGAAGTCGAGATGCCATGTCAGGATCAGTTACATTGCAGAACATTCTTTGGATTTTATCATGAAACTTGAGATGAGTAGAAGGACATCTTACCTGATATGGCAAGAGTATTCAGTGCACGGAGGAATGGTAGATTTCCGTATATATATATATATATATATATATATATATATATGTGTGTGTGTGTGTGTGTGTGTGTGTGTGTGTGTGTGTGTGTGTAAAAATGTGTGTATATAAATATAAATAAATATATATATATATGTATATAATTATTTATATATTATATATATGGTACTTATTAGAAAGCGCTCCATATCAGAGATTTTTTTTAATATATTTCGTTGGATTGATGTGAGTTTGTGACCTGGGTTTTTGTTTTTTTACGATCGTCAGATAAACTGTCTGACGATCGAAAAACGTGAAACCCAGGGTCAAAATTTTCACATCAATCCATATAAATATATATATATATATATATATATATATATATATATATATATATATAGTTAATATATATTTATATATATATATATATATATATATATATATATCAAATATTTTTCTATTGAAAACGGTTATCAAATAAAGATTTCATCAATCTTATTGAAACATTGATTAAATCTTTTTGAAGGCCGTTTTCAATGGAAGATTATATATATATATATATATATATATATATATATATATATATATATATATATATATATATATATATATATATTTTCAACAATCTAACACATATTCTGTTTTTCCCAGGTTAAAGAATATAGGAATTGTCAACTATTTAAATTATTCGGGCTATTGTTGTCATCTTTGTCGTTATATTTATTACCACGTTTCGGCCGTTGTACGTTCCGGCCTTCTTCACGTGGTTGGAATGTCTAACTGAACCCTTTATTTCACTCACTGGGGTAGACTGTTGTAGATCCACGTACCATGTTTAATATATTTCAGTTATCAGTTATCTCGTGTTAATTTCCTTCTCGAAGTTCTGCGTTAACCAGGTATTGAACTCACACTCTCTGGATCTAACCAATGCCTTTATCCACTTTGCTATATATTCTTGACGACACATGGCACAGTGGATAAAGGAGTTGGTTAGATCCCGGTTAAACAGTGGAGATCTTGGATATATATATATATATATATATATATATATATATATATATATATATATATATCAAAGTATATAATTGGTATACACGGAATGAATTCCAATAACCAACAATTACTATTCTTAAAATATATATATTAAATAATATTATTTTAAACATTTTTATCTTTATATATTTGCTCCCTTAAGTTATAATTTAATAAGTGGTTAGCATTTATTTAAGTCTGAAATATTTACTGGTTGTGATTTCTCAATGTCTATGCCATTGTGGATGTATGTTTGTGTACATATCGGTGTCTATGTGTATGTAGAGTGTATTCACATTTAACTGTGTGTGTGTATAAGTGTTAGTTTCCACGTCTCTTTTTTTCGTAAAGGGCTGTGGAGTTGTTCAAATATTCCCCCACCTCTTTTTTTTTTTTTTTTTTTTTTTTTTAAGTGTGTGTGTATATTTGTGTGTGTGTGTGTGTGTGTGTATGTATCTAATTATGTCTGGATGCGTATGTATTATAATCTGATTGTGTTTTTTGTTGTGTCACGCGTGAGTTTAAGACCATATTCACAAACTTTAAAAAAAAAATATAAAAAAAAAAAATATATACATGTATTATCAGATGACCGGACGAATTGTAGCTTTTTGTCTTGTCAGACGTAATTTCAATGAAGAAATGAATTGAATAAACATATATATTTTTTTCTTTTCTCAATAATTTTGTAGTTTTTAAACTTAATAGTGATTAAATTTGGATTTTTAAAAATTGCCAGTTTTTAATTTTAATATTAAATTTTATCATATAAATTTATAATTATTAGTTAGTAAAAATTATTTTTAATATTACACGTATTTAAAGATCTAAATAGCTATAATAGCAGGATTTTGTTGTCAAGCTTTTGAATCTTTCTGTACTTCGTTTTTGATTGGTTATTCTAGCTTTTGTAACAATGCTCCCCCTAGTGTAGGATCGTTAATTCATCTGAAACTTTTAAAACCATTTATTTTCTTTTCAACATCATCACTTGATAAGACACAGAGTGTGTTGAAACAAAATGGCTATTTTTGTAGTGATTTTATAACATACTTATGTTATAAATTTTTTTTATAAAATAATTATATATATATATATATATATATATATAGAATTTATTCATAAAAAAACAAATACATATAAAGTTAATGATTTAATTGGCGAGAAATCCATCGTATATATAACAATTCAAATAATATACAAAAATTTGAACCTGTTATGAATGAAAAGATCCTTGCTTTTAAATTTCTATTGCATTAGTTCATATTTTTTTTTTACTACAAGCTTTCGTAGAAAAATTACAGACATCTTCAGGTATGGAATAGATGTTGTTCTATTTTTTCTCTAGTAATAAAGAGGACAACGAAAATATATGTATTGTTGTATCCAAAAAATGCTATTAGAAATGAGTTATTGTTTAATTTATAGTAGCAACGCTGAGTTTGAATTTAAATTTTACAATTGTGCGTTTTGTACAAATATGGTGATAAGCAAATTTTTTTACTGGTAAATTTTCTGTCAAAGTGACATGAACTTTATTGTTCAATAATTACAGTAATGTCGCACTTATTATCCAAAAGTTTTAAAAACAAGGATCTTTTCATTCATAAAGGTTCGGGGTTTTTTTATTTTTATTTGAATTGTTCATTGACGATGGATTTCTCGCCAATTAAATTATTAAATTTTGTATTTGTTTTTTGTATGAATAATTCATGAATTTGTAAATTAAAAAAAAATTTTCCTTTATTGAAATATATATATATATATATATATATATATATATATATATATATATATATATATATATATATATATATATGCCGCTCCCTTTTTTGAAAAAACCTTCGTTATATCAGAAATTGTAATATATTTTTTTAAAATATATATTACATATAATATGTGGTGAAAATCTGCTCATAAATATTCAACTGTATCTTAAGTACGTTCTTCTTACGTAAGCCACTGTCAAGGAATTGTATTATTTTCTTGTTAAGTTTGTGTCTCTGTATATTAATTGTATTTTCCTTGGTGTTTGTTTAGCGCCTTCATATGTTCGTTTTTTTTTTTTAGTATCGCGTCTTCACGCGTCATTTTGTTATATCGTAATGCTTTCTTTTGTTTCATTTATTTAATATATTTTACTTTTGCAAAGAATGGTTTCTAATATAATCGATCCTGACCACTTATATCGACTTCAGTTAATTTGTCACCGACGTCATATGGCTTCCCTTTGTCTTTTTGACAAATATTTCCATGCTAACTTTTCTGATGATCTTTTTATCTTAATGCTCCGACTACATAAATTTAAGCATATTTTTAGGTCCTCCATTTTAATCATTTGAATGAGCTAAAATTTTAGACTCTAATTCGTTTTTTTCGCACTTCCAAAAATGGAAATATTTTTTTAAATTTCTTGCTTCCCAGACAACTATCAGTTCATCCCATAAGTTCTGTCCGAATTTTACCTTTTTGCTAAAATGAATGAAATTTAAAGAGTGTTTTATAATGTCTAATGGAGCTGAACATTATTTTTATGTTTAGATGCATTTAAACTAATCAAATTTTATTTAAGAGAACAATAAAATTAAATTTTGTCTGATTAAAACCCTGCTAATATGGAAGTACCCAAGAATCATTTGAGGCACATACTGCTTTATGAGTTCAAGAAAGGAAACTCAGCAGCCGAAGCGGCTAGAAACATTCACTCAGTTTATGGAGAGGAATGTGTGAATGAAAGAACTTGCAGAAGATGGTTTGCAAAATTCAGAGGTGGAGATTTCACCCTTGAAGATGAAGATCGAACCGGACGTCCAGTTGAGTTTGATGAAAAGCTTCTTGAAGCAGCCCTTAAGAACAAATCCTGCCTTATCAATTGAGGAATTGGCAGTGGTTCTCAGTTCAAACCATACAATTGTTCATCGTCATCTTCAACAACTTGGAAAAGTTCCTAAACTTGGAAAATGGGTGCCTCATGAATTGTCTGAAAACAACCTCAAATCACGAGTTGACATCTGCTCTTTCTCCATTCTCGCCAACTTGTTTCACCTTTTTTGGATAGACTTGTGACTGGCGACGAAAAATGGATCTTTTATCGAAATGTTAAGCGTCGTAGACAGTGGCTTGGTAAAGGGAAGGACCCCAGCCACAGCCGAGAAGGGAACTTCATGGGCAAAAGGTTCTTCTTTTCAATCTGGTGGGATCGCCAAGGAATAATCCACGCTTTGAATTCTTACCACCTAATGCAACAATTAATGCTCAAATATACTGTCAGCAATTAGAGCGTTTGAACCAAGCTTTGAATAAAAAAAAGACCTGCTCTAGTGAATCGAAAAGAGGTGATGTTTCATCAGGACAATGCGTGACCCCACACAGCAAGAATCACGTCAAAAGATCGAAGAACTTGGTTGGGAGAAAATTCCTCATCCACTTTATTCTCCCTGATCTTGCTCCTTCAGACTACCATTTGTTTTGTAGCTTACAGAATCATTTGGAAGAAACAGCTTTTTTGTAACACAGGAAGAGGTT